TGTACACATGAATGACAACCTCAGCTGGAGCAACAACACCACCAGCCTGATCAAGAAAGCTCATCAGAGACTCTACTTCCTCAGGCGGCTGAGACGAGCTGGTCTGGGAAGCTCAGTCCTCACCTCCTTCTACAGGTGTGCAGTGGAGAGCATCCTGTGCTCCAGCATCAACGTGTGGCATGGAGGCTGCACAGCTGCAGAAAGAAAAGCTTTGCAGAGAGTGGTGAAGGCTGCACAGAAGACTGTTGGAGTCAGTCTCCCCACCATCACAGACATCTACACCTCTAGATGCAGGAAGAGGGCCACCTGCATCATGAAGGACCCCACTCACCCAGCACACACACTTTTTGCCACGCTCCCCTCAGGAAGGAGGCTGAGGAGCATTAAGTGTAGAACCACTAGACTGAGGAACAGCTTCTACCCTGAGGCTGTTAGACTCATGAATCTCTAACCAGAATATTCACTGTGAAAAATCACATCATGTTGCTGCTGATCTGTTTCAATGTTGCTGCTGATCTGTTTCATGTTGCTGTTGATCAGTTTCAATGTTGATGTGTTCATATAATTTCCCTCTGGGATTAATAAAGTATTTTTGAATTGAATTGAATTGAATTGAATTGAATGCGGGCTCATCTGCTCACACAGACTCGTGCTCAGGTTTGTGCTGATGTTCGACGTGATGTTTTTATGCTACTAGTGCTTAGTGTATATTTAGTTGATGTTTTTAATAATATTGTATTTACTCAGTATTTACTCCAAAACCCCAAATAACTAAGCCACAGATATACAGCTGTAACCAGGAGGATAAGAAAAACAAGCAATAGCAATCCCTATCACAAGTTTGTGTAACCTTATTGTGTGAATGTTTATGAAGCATTCACCCTATTGTGACCATTATTCTTCTGCACGTTTTAAGCGTGATTCTTGTCCCGCAGTTTTCAAGTTATTTCAACAAATCAGAAATCAAAACGTTCAGCTCTTTCAGGACAATCCTACTATGACTTTTGGTATTGGTGCAACTTTAGCTTTTTGAAATATTTAGCCTTTTCTGTCTTTTTTTTTTTTTTTCATAGAAAATGAATTGAGTTAATTTTACATCCTTCAAATCTTTAGATCTGTTTACAACCTTTTACTGCTGCTTTCACATTTTGTTCTGCTTCAGCTTCTTTGTGCAAATTTAAACTTTTTTCAGATGTTTTCAACTAATTTCAGCTCTTTTCAGCTGGTTTGTGCTCCTTTCAAATTATTTCTGCTAACTACAATATTTTTGTGCTTCGTCTAATTTCTTTCTGCAAATTTCAGCTTTTTCTATTATTTCAGCTACTATAGCTGTTTTAAGAATTTTAAGCTAATTCCACATATTTTTGCACTCATTTCAACTTTTTTCAGCCTAATTCAGGAAAAATATGCTGTCTACACATCTTTCTTGTAATTTCAGCTTATTTCTGTTTTATTACTTCAGTTATTTTTAGCTAATTTCAGCTTTTTTCAGGTAATTTCCACTTTTTGTGCTCATTTTTGCTTCTTTCAGCCTAATTGGGCAAACGTTATTTCTGCTTTCTTCTGCTAATTTAAGCTTGTTCTACCTTTCAGCTACCCTTTTAGTCAATTTTAGCTGTTTTCATATAAATTCAAGTTTGTCATAGTAATGTCTGCTACTTTCAGCCTAAAAACTTATTTTTGCTAATTTCAATAATTTCAGCTTGTTATGCTCCTTTCAGGTTTTTTTCTGCTGGTTTTGGTTATTTCAGTTACTTAGCTATATTTACGCTAATTTGAGCTTTTTCAACTAATTTCACAATTTTTAGCTCATTTCAGCTCTGTTCTTCTTCATTCTGTTAGTTTAAGCTAGTTTAAACTTTTTCTGTGTTTTCAGCTACTTTTCAGCTTTCTTTTGGTAATTTCAGCTTTTTTAGCTAATTTCCTATTTTTGTGTTCATTTCTGCTTATTTCAACCTAGTTCAGCAAATATGTGTTCTTTCTGCTTTCTTCTGCTAAATTAGGCTTGTTCTTCCATTTCACAAAAATTTCTGCCGTTTTTCAGCAATAAATATTCACACTGCATTTTCGCAAGAAATGCAGTTTCTCAAGTTTTGCTATTACTATGTGACTTTTGGGATTGCGTTGTATATGTGAGGTTCATAAGACATTTCAGAGTTGATGCATTTATGTTAGACGCAGGGTTTGGCTGGTCTGCGTAAAGAGACAAGGTTGCGGCTAGGCCTGTTGCGATAAACAATAAATCAATCAGTCACATGATAAATTAAAATGAGGTTGACTATTTTCATTTATCGGTTTTATTGTTTCTTCACGTCTCTCTCTTTCTACTGAAGACACTGGATGACAAAAGGCTCAGCTTGGTTGCTCTTCACTGACCCCTCCCTTTCTCATTTCCTTAGCGTAAGGGGGAGTAAACGTATCGCGTCAGGTAGCCAGCCAAGGCGCATTGTCGCGTACCTCTGCATGATTAGAGCCCCGTGAGGCGTTAGCATGCTAAAGAAACGCTATTTGATAGTGGGGGAAAAAACTAAATGGCATTGGTTTCAAAGTCGAATGCAGCAGCAGCAGTGTTGGGGCACTTTGGATTCAAACCAAATGACCGAAGCGAACCGCTGAACCTTTGCCAGCCGGTATGTCTCATTGGTCATAAAACAGTAGCAACTAAGAGGAGCAATACAACCAACTTGCATCTGCACCTACGTAAAGCACAATTATCTAAAGCAGTTTTCCGAGCTGGGAAAAAAAACTACAACTGGTGGGCCATCTCCATCTTCAAGTTCCCAACAGTCCACCATCACTGGAGCATTTAATCGACGGACAGCGTACAAAAAGGACAGTGCAAAATGGTGCGCGCTCACAGACAGCGTAGTTCACTTAATTGCTAAAGAGATGCTGCCCTTTAATATTGTTGAATTGTTGCATTATTATGTCATTATCATTACAGTAGTTGAAAACAGTCTCCAAACAATATTACCGTTTATCGCAATAATTTCTGAGACAATTACTCGCCCAGCAAAAATTGTTATCGTGACAGGCCTAGTTGTGGCATTGTCTTGTAACATTTACGTATCTCAACAGGCCAAACGTTAATGCAAAATAAGTACAGCGTTTGGTGTCACAGACTCAAGTTGGACTGATTTATCTACTTCCACATTAGAGGATTTTTGTTTGTGAATCATGTTGTTTCAAATATTTTATCTGTAAAATTGTGCAATCAGCTTAAATTCAAAGCAACAACTTCATCCATGTAGAGTTTGGATCAGCATTTATGCTCGTAAGGATTTATTCTGATTGTCTTTTTGTGTTGCCTTTTGCTTTTCTCTTTTTTTTCTCCTTAAAATCACACCATCTCTGTTCCGCTGACTTTAATCTATTCCCCTAAAAAATCACCCCTCTTTTCCTTCTCCTCCCACTCTTGTTCTTGTTTGGCTCTTAAAACCACAAATCCATTTTCTGTTTATTTCCCAAACCAGCCTGCCCTAATCCATCCTTCTCCTCCCCACTTACTCACTTTCTGTCTTTTCTCTATACTGTCCCTCTATCTTTTTCCAACTCCTGCTAATTAAGTGCTCCAGTCTCTGATTCCCCTCCAAATCCGTTCTCTACCTTTCTGTCCTCCGCTTCTCCCTAAATCCTCATTATTTATTTTTTTCACGCCTGTATCCATCCTTCCTTCTTCGCTCCCTTCTGTCCTAGGCTCTTGTTCTCCCTGACAACAAAATGGATTATGTAATCTACATCTTTGGGTATTAGTTATGCAAATTCAGACAGTTTTATTTACATGTTTTTCTCTCTTCATCCTCCCTCCACTCCCCCCCCCCCCACTCTACACTTTAAAACTGATGCTTTCTTTTTCTCCGTGCACCTCACTTGGTTTTTCCTCATTACTTTCACTATATTCCACTATTTTTCTTTTTCTTTTTATACTTCCTCTCTTCCTTCTCGCATCCTTTTCCTGTTCTTCCTCCATGAACATCTGTTTTCATTCATTTGCTTATTTTTTACACCTCCTTTTCCCTCCCCACTTGATTTATAATAATCCTGTTCTCCTCTTTATTTCCCTTCCTCACCTCTCCGTCCATCCATCACTTTCTCCCCACGTTTTCCTTTCCCTCCCTCCTTTTTCCCTCCCCTCCCTCCTCCCTCCAGCCACCAGTGGTCTTGAGGCAGAGAGTGGAAGGCGTGGCGGTGGCAGCAGCAGCAGCAGCAGCCACGGCGATGGCAACCACAGCGGCGGCGGCGGCGGTGGAAGCAGCAGCATCAGCGGTGGAGGTGGAGGCACCGCGGCCCATTTCAGGTCGCCATGGCAACAGAGCGTGAACGTGTTCGGCTCGTGGAGCAGGCCAGAGTGTGTTGAGGAGCTGCACCAGCAGGCGCAGCTCAACCTCCAGAGCCTGCTGCAAGGTAAGGATGAGAATTCAAGAGATGAAGGACGGATGCATGGAAGGATGGAGGTAGGAAAGAAAGGTGTGTGTGTGAGTGTGTGTGTGTGTGTTGGGCTTGGAGCTGTGTTTTGAGTGGGTGGGACAGGCATCGAGGCAGGGGCGGTTTGGAAAGTGTTTACATGTGTGGCATTGGACTGCGCTGACATGGGTGTGTGACGCCGCCTTAACCATGCAGATATGCAGTGTGTGAATGTGTGTGTTTTCCCTCTTTTTATCATGTGTTTATCTTGTACTGTAATGTGTGTGTGCGCGCTGGCTCAGAGAAACACTGCTGAAGGTGTGTGTTCACCTTGCAGCGTTGGATTTGATTAATTTGAACGCGTGCTTCAACAGAACGTGCTCTGTTGATGTGGTTTGGTATATTTGGGTTCTTCTCTCTGTGTGTGTACGTGTGCGTGCGTGTAAAGGATGTATGCCCTTTTTCCCCCAGTTTTTTTTTTAAAAAGGTGGAATTCTGTCGTTTTAACAATAATCTCTTGTTTACGGAAGACGCTGCTCTGTCTGTTGTCATCATCCTGTGTGTGTTTATAAGGGGACGAGGCTTTCGGTTTGTTTCCAGATACCGCTCTTAGTCTTCTCTTTCTCACCAGTTGGTTTGTCTCATTCGTGTTCTGTCTCCCGTCATGTGACTCATGCTGTCTTTGCCTTTCCTTGTCCTCTCCAATAAAATAATAACAGCTGGACGGGTGGAGGGGTGGGTGGTTGGGGGGGCGACCGGCAGCATGACAACCTTCATCGCTTGTGGAAAAAGTGGCTGAAAGAATGAATCGCTCAACCCTAAAGTTCATTACGTATCACCACAAATTCAGTCATATCATTCCAGGTAAGAGCGTCACTTTAATGGATTTCTGTGTTCTGAAGCAGAGTAATAAAAATAAAATAAAAGCGCCCCCCCCCCCTCCTCCAATAATTGCTAAATCTTTGGGTTTTTCAGTTTAGCTGGTGGAAATAAGTAGAAGAATAAGGCAAGGTTGATGGCTGAATCATTTAATAAACATAAACATATTGGAACTTAACATTTTTTTTTAAATTCTGAGTGTCTTACTAATGATGTTTTTTAAACTCATTTTGCATTACTGTAGCTTTGTGATAGTTTGTGCTATCTGAAAAAAAACACTTTCTGACAGCTGAGAACTTTCACTTTACAGCAATACACTGTATGTATATCGTATTGAGCATGCATCAGGATATACTGTAGGTGTATTTCAGCGAACTAACGCCTGCTGTTTCATGAAGCCTGTGAAACAGCCCCTCTGTACCCCTCCTCCCAAACAGACACAGGTGAACACTGCTGGCTCTTGACAAATGTGGGACATTTAGGTTTCCCAGCCCTTCTTATGCGGGACACATACATAATGTGCAAAATCTGGGACTGTCCCACCTCAAATCGGGACAGTTGCAAATACGATGGTTATCCAAGACAAGAATAGGTTGTCTCGGACATTGAATATTCATTTCTCTAATATAAGCTGCCTCCAAAGGCGTTGCAGAGAAATGGGCGGTACATCCAACCGGCCCCAACTGCAGACTACGTATAATCTCCTCCACATCCAGCATCTTCACCTCCAGGATCATCGGAGACCAGCCACCTGATCAGCTGCTGCAGTCATCAGTTTGCACAACCAAAGAATTTCTGCACAAATTGTCAAAAACCATCTCAGGGAAGCTCATCTGCATGCTCATCATCTTAATCGAGGTCTCCACCTGACTGCATTTTGTTGTTGCAACTGACTTGAGTGAGCTAATGCTCACATTTGATGGTGTATGGCAGGTTGGAGGAGTGTCCTCTTCTCTGGATGAATCCTGGTTTTCACTGTACAAGGGAGATGGCAGACTGCATGTATGGCGATGTGTGGGTGAGCAGTTTGCTGATGTCGTTGTGAATCAAGTTGCCCATGGTGGCGGTGGGGTTATGGTATGGGCAGGCGTATGTTATGGACAATGAACACAGGTGCATTTTGAATGCACAGAGATACCGCAATGAGATCCAGGGGCCCATTGTTGTATCATTCACCCACGACCATCACCTCATGTTGCAACATGATAATGCACAGCCCCATGCTGCAAGGATCTGTACACAATTCCTGGAAGCTGACAATATCTCAGTTCTTGCATGGCCATCATATTCACTGGACATGTCACCCACTGAGCATGTTTGAGATGCTCTGGACCGACGTATATGATAGCATCTTATAGTTCCTGACAAAATCCAGCAACTTCACAGCCATTGCAGAGAAGTGGACCAACATTCCACAGGCCACTGTCGACGACCTGATCAGCTCTATGTGAAAGAGATGTGTTGAACTGTGTGAGGCAAGTGGTAGTCACACCAGATACTGAGTGGTTTTCTGACACCCCCTCGGACCCTCGGACCCTCCAGTACAGTAAAACTGCATGCATAAATATGCATGCATCACTTTACAATCTTGGACTGTTTTGGAATTATTTAAAACAAGTTGCTCCATTAAACGTCATTAATCTGATGCATTTTTTTTTTGTTGTAGAATTAGTACTTACTATCAAATTAAAATGCCAAATAAATTCCAGGTTGTAAGGTAAAAAGTATACATTGATGATCGAATACATTTGAAATTTACCATACATGAAATAAAATGTACATAACTTAAACAAAAAGTTTTTTTCTCACTAGTAAAATGTTTAAAGTAAAAACATAAATAAACTGAGTAACAACAATTAATCAGAAAGGAAACACATTTCCTGCCTTCAAGGTCTCAGCAGGCTGAGGGAGCATGTTAAGCAGTTTTGCTTGTGTTGTACTGCTCATGATGCTCAGAGTTCTGGACTTGAGGGACCAAGTTTATGCATACAGAGGAGAAAGGCTGCCTCTCCAGCCTGCTGTTCTCAGGGCTGCTATCATTTGTGCTTTTCTTGTTTCCACACTTTTAAGACAAATTAGCATCATATCCCTCTTTGACAATGAAAGAGGGTTATTGAAAACAAACTAGTGTTGAGACATCATTAAGTTTTCACAGGTAAAGGTATGGAAACAATCAGTGTTCTCACAGTTTCTCCTCTGGAAAACATTAGCTGCATTTTTCAGGAAGTAAAACAAGACAGGTTTATACATAAGTTTATATATATATATATATATATATATAAGCAAATACAACACATATTGCTGAAATTCAGCATTATATTTGATATAAAGGATATTCTAGATCAGGGGTGCCCACACTTTTTCAGCATGCAAGCTACTTATAAAATGACTAAGTCAAAGTGATCTACCTACTATCCTTTCATCCATTATGTTTTTATCCGCTTCTTCCTTTTTGGGTCGCGGGGATCACTGGTGTCCATGTCCAGCCATCATTGTGTGAGAGGCGGGGGACACCCTGGACAGGTCTCCAGTCCATCATAGGGACACATAGAAACAAACAACCATTCACTCTCTCACTCACACCTAGGGATAATTTAGAGTTACCAATCAGCCTAACATGCATGTTTTTGGTTTGTGGGAGGAAACCAGAGTACCTGGAGAAAACCGACGCACGCACGGAGAAAACATGTAGACTCCACCCAGAAAGGCCCCTGGACTGGAATTTGAACCAGGGTAACCTGTTCACTGAGAGCAACTCTACCAATTGCACCACTGTGCTGTCCTCTATTTACTATAAAAATACAAAACATATGCAGTACTTATTTGCAGTGTCACATCTGTAGACTCATTCAATCGCAGTAAAAAAACATTTGCAGTCCGTGTTATCCTTCCAAAGTTGCTGGGTCAAATCCTCCTTCACCTTTTTCTTTCTCAACTCGCTATTCGGAAGCAAGTCGGTGTTGTAGTTTTTATGAACAGTCTGAAAATGCTGCTCCATGTTTCCCTTCTTTGGAACAGCCATGGTAGACTGGCAGATGAGGCAAACACACTTCAAATATGATGTGAAAAAAGTCCTCCTCCCATTCCGTATGGAAATGGTTTGTTTTTTGCTTCTTACTTGGTCCAGCTCTCCAACTCATTTTACAACTTTTCTTGAGTTTAGAAGAAATAAACTGGAGGCCATTACTAGGTAATTCAGCAGCTTGCTAGTTTTTGGCATGGTTATATGCGCATGCGTGGTGACCTATGTGTCAGAAAAGGTCCGGCCTCAGCTTGGCTGTCCTGTATGTCAATCAAGTAACAAATTTCATATTGAGGATGGATGATAGGCTGACATCTATTTTTTAATGCCATCCGATCTACCCATATTATCTTTGCAATTGACCGGCAGATCTCGGTCGATGTATTGGTCATCCCTGATCTAGAAGATTCTACAATTGTGAGTAGATGATGTGGTGTTCATTAACATACAACTATTTCCCAATCATCTGCTGATTTCAGGCTAATATTTTTCCACCCCGAGCAACACAATTCTAGAATGTGATGATTCTAGATGCCCTTCCTGACACAACCTGGGCTTGAATCCACAACTTGAGCAAAACAACACCGCCTCACTGACCACCAAGCTACCGCAGCCTATTAAGTGTTTTTCACGTGAGAGATGTAAAAAGCATATCTGTGTGTGGCATGCAAGTTTTCAAGCTTCAAGACTTTAGATAAAACATCACATTTTAGGACTTTGTAGACAGTCTGACAATAATACTGAACATAATGCATACGATTACCAAACCCAGATGTTTCAATATTTGTAGACTAAATAAAATAGCTTTAATGAAGAAATGACTTGCATCATACAATGTTCTTTTTTTTGCAGTGTCCCCGTAAAAATCTTTTAAAATACTTTTTCTTTCATCTGCTTCATTTACTGTGCTGCCATCTCACTGTCTCCAGCATCTTCTCTGTCATACCAACCCTCTGCATATCTTCCTTCCCTACATCCATGACCCTCCTCTGTGGTCTTCCTCTTTTCCTCCTCTGCAGGCAGCTCCACATTCGATATCCTTTATCCAACAAATCCATTGTCCCTCCTCTGCACACGTCCAAACCATTTTAGCCTCGCC